AGTTTTTGCCTTACTGGGGTCACTGGGTTCTGGTCGCATCCTAGTCCTAGACTAGACTCACAGAACTCTTCCCTGAGGCTCTTGGGCAGTTCCAGTCTGGTGCACCAAAGATGGTGCGACACATAGCCAAGAATTTGCAGGACGATAAGAAAGAGAAAGTCCTTGATGACAAAGGTGATGTAGTGCTTGATGCACTGGCCAAATTGCCGGATTTCACCATTGAGATCTTGGAACATGACCCAAGAACTGAAAGAATGATGACTAGATGGAAGATCTCGCAGGAGTTCTCAGTCAGAACCCCTGTGAAGACAGACTTGGAGGCAGGACAAATGCACAAGCGCTTGTATGATGCAATGCAGAAAGATGACTACCTTGCAGAGGCCGTCTCTGTGGGTGGCCAGGAGGTGTGTGCAACCCTTGGGCGCATTGCCTACATCCGTGATGTCCTGTTGAGGCTCCAGACCAGTTGTGACAAGGTTGACGCCTTGGTGGATTCACACAAGGATATGATCAACACAGTGAACACCGTTTCCAAGTCACTGATGGTTGAGGTTCAGCAGGCTTTGTCAGCTGCAATGGCAAAAGAAAAGGCTGCCTCAGAGGAGGAAAAAGCCAAGAAACTTGAGAAAGCAAGAATGGAGAAGGAACGTGCCAAAGAGCAAAAGAAGGCTGAACAAAAGAGAAAGCGGGAAGAGGAAAAGGATGCCAAGAAAAGGAAACAAGAGGCAGACAAAGCAGCCAAAGAGGCAGCGGCTGCTGCGGGGGGCGAATCTTGACACTCCGCCACAAGAACCTGATGCAGATGGTCAGGGCAAGACCCGTTCTTCAACGAGAAGGGCGCGGATTGGAGCAGTGACTGAGCTCACTGAAACAGATCCTGTGATTCTCAGAGACAAGCAACTGCCACTCCAATGCCATCTGACTGATTTTACAGTCACGTGTCAAGATTTCTTTCGTGAAATCATCCGACGGCCAGAGCAGGTTCAACTCATCAAAGACAAGGGTGTACTGCGCAAAATGTTTGCTTCCTACCCGGGCATTTCCAAAGAGACGGTGAATTCTTATGCAAAGAAACTCACGGCAGAAACTCAATTGATTGTCAGGACACTTTCTATTTTTTTTAAATATTTGATTCGGGATTTGGTCCGGCACGGTACTGAAGTACTGACTGGTACTAGTACTGCAGCAACAACAACAATAATCAACAATACTACACTTTTGACTGTTTTGACTGACTGACTTAGACTTAGACTCAGACTTCAATAGAAATAACATTCACATACTCACCTCACCACCACTGACCACCACATACACATAATAACTATTTACTGAGACTGACTGATTGAGACTGAGGCTCAGACTATCTTAGTATATTATTAACCTATTGCTTTGTGTCTTTGCCCTGACCCGACCCAGGGCATTTCCCTGTCAACTCTTAGGACATCAGTGCCTTCAAGACACAGTGCGAAGAGCAGTACAAGGCCGGACACCACAGGCTTAACAAGTTCATTGATGGACCAGGCTTGGTCCTTGGGCTTGATACGCAGCTTGGCGTGACAAGCGAGAAAGAGCAGCCAGATGATCTTCAAGCAGTGCTTCCGGTAGTCTTGGACCGGGCAGAGCTTGAGTCCTTGAACCTCCACTGCAAACTAAAGAGGGGGGGTTGAGACGGTTGAGAGTTGAGAGGGGAGGCTTGGCAGGGCGGGGTCTGGGGCGGCCTGGGCCTGGGCCTGGGGTATTGAAACACGGGATTTAAGGACATGTATGACAGTATGACATACGACTTGTGGATATGGTCCACTGTTTGTTCAAAGGCCAATTTTACCGGGATTCAAATTCACAACACAATTCAATTCAGAATTCATTCATGGTGTCCATTTTCCTCAGGATGGTGAAAGCATTGGGCGACAATCCAAAGGACGATGATGTCAAGAGAGCAAAAATGAGGGTCAGTGGCTTGTCTTTGGCAGCTGCTTTGCGTGGACAACTCTCTACGTCGCTTTGCTCTGGTGGAATGCCCTTCATTCTCTATCAGGTGGAAGGCTCAAGGCTATGTGCAACACTGGACATCGAAGAGGGTTTCCAATCTGTGCAAATGCCCCTCTCAAGCAAACAGAAGTTGTAGTAGAGTCAGTCAGAGTGAGTGAGTGAGTCAGTAGTATAGTATAGAGTAGCAGTAGCCCGGGGCCCGGACTCCTGACTCCTGTTTGGGTGAACTAAGGTTGAAGGACCATGAGCTGACTCCGCTTGGAGACAAGGTAGAGGTTGAGGCCGCCGCCGCAGCGAAGAACACAGATATTGTTCTGACCGACGTGGTGCGGTTCTTTGAGGGGTTTAATGCACAAATGGCAGTGACACTTACTGATCTTGCTGAAAGCAGTGCTGCTGAATATGGCGTCCCACCGTCTTTGAAGATCACATATATGACTCCCGGTGATGCCTTGTATGTGCCCAGCAGTGTGATCATCATAGAGAAGCGCTTGGCTGCAAATGCCGTGGCAGTGCGGGTGCCCTTGACACTGGTTGATGAAACGACGTTGGCCAAGTTGGAGCTTGTCAAATCTCAAAATCAGCGGCAACTCAGCTAATATTAGCGGCGCCGGCGCCGGCGCCGGCCTGGAATTGGTCAGTAAAATGTAAAATGGAATTGAACACTGGGGACTGGAGACTGGGTCATTGAACTTTACTGAGCACTTGTTAAAACGGTGTTCGTGTTGCTGGACTCCACACTATGGACTGCGGACTGTGTGGTCTTAGAGTCTTGTGACTTGTGACCCAGTTGCCAAACACTAGAGCTGGCACCGTTTGTGGCCGCTACCACAGTCAGAAGCCAGTTCAGGTCCTCGCTTGCTGATGGTATGATTTCCATGCTACAGCCGCTGCAAGAAACCTTGCAGATGCGCCGTCACCAGATTGCTTCTCGGCCAAAACTTGGGGGACTCGGACTCGGACACTGGGACAAGTAGACCTCAGAAAGACCTCTTACTGTTACTGTGGACGTGGACGTGGACTACCCTGATCTTTAATAACTGTGCACTGTGCACTGTGCACACTGTGCACTAGGGTGCACTGGTGCACCTGATGAAAGTATATTCACATAGATAATTCAAATTCAAACACTTTCAAAGTTTTTGTAGCAAGCTGTGTCTGTGTCACTGTGCACTGCGCACTGTGCACCTGATGAAAGCTTATTCATAGTTCATTAATTCAATTCAAAGTTTTTGTAGTGAACTGTGTTGAGTGTTGTGATCCCTAGCTTGGCAGGATGAATGGTGCCGCGGCATCCCAGCCTCAGCTGGTGTGAATGCAGCTGGTATGAATCAGAGTCAGGGGAACTCTGACTCTGGCCAAACTAACACTGTCACTGTCAAACGCAGCTTAGATTTCAGCAATGAAGCAGCGGCAGCAGAAGACGAAGCAGCAACAACAGCAGCACCGCTTTCACCACTTCAGCAGTACAAGGAGGGCAAAGAACTCAGCCTTGAGCAGGGCAAATGGCTGCAGCAATTGGTTGATCGGGTTGAGAACGAGTTCAA